GCCCCTGCCTCGGGAGGTGCGGCGGCCGCCACTGCTATTGCCCATCTGGCCAGAGACGTGCATTCCTCTGGGATGGGCACATGTGCGACTCAGATGGCGAGCTCTTCTTCACAGAGGTCTGTGCGTCGTCACGTTGCCGCGGATCGGAAATTAGCCCAGGAGGCACGCACTGCTCGCCCCTTCGCCGCAAGGCACACTGGGGTTGAGGGTACCGACTTCCTGGGACCTCTCAGTCAGAACGCTGCGCGTGTGCCTACCACCATGGACTTGGACGACTTTGATAGGTTCCAGGAGGAGGATTGTGTGCATGATCCGTTGTGTGATGAGCTGGATCCACCGTCGGCCCAGGCCTCACCGCGCGCTCCTCCTGTCTCTGGACCTGTCTGTCAAGGCGGCCAAACTGTCTTCCATCAGGATGTGCCAGCCGCTCCAGCACGCCAGCAAGGCATTAGTTTGGGGAAGGCTGTAGGGCCAATTCATGTGTCCCAGGAGCGTTGTGATTCAACTATGAGAGGCCCTACGGTCGTCCCCAGCATCGAGGACCAAGCCAGGATCCATGCACGTGCTCAGACTTGGCGTGCTCAAGCTTGGCGATGCCGTCCTCGGGGTGTGTCACCAGCAGTGCACCCTTCTGATTACCGCATTCTGCAGTGGCGTGCGGAAGAGCGTGAGCGGATTTCTGATGAGTACGTTTGTTGGGTCTCTACCTAGGAGCAGGCCGTCCTGGACACGGAGGGCCTGGACGGCGCAGATCGGCGTGCGCGTGCGGGTCGCGCCGCAGGGCCCGTGGTGAAGTGGTCGAGGCTGCGGGCCACTCACGTACCCACATGAGGAACAGCTACGCCGAGTGGTGGGGCATCACCACCACTCTCTTGGTTCGTTTTCGCGCCCTCGCTCGCAACGGGGTTGACCTGTGCCAGGCTCGTGACTACCTGTCCCAACTACGTCGGCATCTGCAGAGTCTGGATATGCCGGGGAAGGGCGCGTACTTCGGCAAGAAGACCACGCTTGAGCTCGCCGAGGCGTGGGTCTCGGATGCGGGCATCCTGGAGGAGCTGGAGGACGTTGCGCTGACCCATGTCGCGCAGCTGGCCCAGCGCTGGTCGGACTGGGCTGCTTCGCGGGCAATGACAGCACCCAGGGCCATTTTTATGGTGCGGGTGCGCGAGCAGTGGCGACTCAAGCCAAGGCTCAGTGCATCGTCATGTCAAGCTAGATCCTCTACCAGAATGGGAAGGTGCTGGCCCTAATGGTTGCCCCACCAGTCACCCTCAGCTTCTGTTGGAAGGCAAGCGCCAGCACTGGTCTGAGATCTGGCGCGAACAGGTGGACACTCAAGAGGACCTCCACTACTGGCTGGACCAGCTGCACTCGGACGCCGTGGAGGAAGCGCTGCCGCCCTTTGAGCTCGGCCAGCTCACCTCCACCCTACGGGCCATGCCATCGAGCAAGGCTCAAGGAGTTGACGCTCATGGGCCTAATGACGTGCTGCGACTTCCAGATACTATCAGGGGTGTGGCCTGTGGAGATCACGACGGTTCTCGGCGCCTCCATTCCAAAGGAGGCGGGCGGTCATAGAGTGCCCGGTCTGATGCCTCACACGGCCAAGTTGCGGAGCAGGATGCGTTCAGCGCCGTCTTACTCTTGGACGGAGAAGCAAGGTGCCTTCTGGGACACGGCGATTGCGGGGTCCTCAGCTCTGCGAGCGGCGCTGGCTAGGGCCATCCTGGATGAATGTGCTCGCGAGTTGGGCGTGTCATACGCCACACTCTTTCTCGATCTGCAGAAGTTCTATGATTCGATCAGTTTTGCGCTGCTGATGAAGGCCAGTCGCTCTCTTCGCTACCCCGCCATCATCACTGTCCTGGAGGTGGGCATGTATGCGGCACCTCGTCTCATCAAGCGGGGCGTCTTGGTCAGCTCTGCCCTGGAGCCTGGCACGTCTATTGTGGCTGGCTCCCCGCGGGGAGTGGACATGGCCAAGGTGATACTGCACGGCCTCCTCCAGGAGGCCCACGTGGTGAGCCCACGAGCTGGGCTGTGGACATTCATTGATGACACTGTATGCAGGACGGAGGGTGCGCGAGCCACTGTGATCGGAGACATGCTGACGGCCGCTCAGTCCCTGGCTCATGCGTTCAAGGACCACCGTTTGACGATCTCTGACAAGACGAAGCTAGTCGCCAGTGATGATGCGCTGGCGTTGTCTCTGGCCACCTCCCTGAAGAGCATGGGCATTCCTGCCACTCACGCCTCCTCGGCGGTCGACCTGGGAGTTGACGCAGCTGGTGCTCGACGGCGCGCCCGACCCAAGTTTCGTTCTCGACTGGTCAGGGCTACCGCGCGTCAGGGCAAAATCCAGAGGCTGCGGCGCCTCGCAGGCAGCCACAAGGTGGCGCGTGGCTTGTGGAGGGCAGGTGTGCTACCCTCTGCTACACATGGGCATCAAGCTCATGGAGTGCCGCCCTCCATGATGACCAAGTTGCGAAGGCAAGCTTCGGTTTCGATTGCTGGCCACAAGAGGGGGCGATGTTACAGACGGCATGGCAGGCTACGCTTGGCACAAGCGACCCCTCCGTGCAGCTTCGACGGGATGTACTTACTGAGTGGTTTCGTATGTGGATTGCGCACCCGTATTTGCATGGCCGCATTTCTCGAGTTTGGCCTCGTGTTCGCGCTGGATTGGGTGATCGTGTCCGCTGGCGTGGAGTCCGCGGGCCCACTGCTGCCATTCAAGCTACCTTGTTGCAGGTTGGTTGGGTGCCCTTGGAGGCCACCCGCCGGCGACGCTCAGGTGCTGGGGGGCCAGAGGACTACACGTTCCTCTCCTTCGGCGAAGATGGCTACAGCGACACCGTGCTGGAGGATTTCAGTGAGCCCCTGGCGGACTTTGAACATGACTGCAGTGCGGCTGCCTGGCGTCTGGCCGTCAAGAATCCTGATGGTGAACAGCTCGCAGATGGAGCCGATTTGCATGGGATTCAGCGTGAATTGGAGGCCTTCGCCAGGGAGGGTGACATGGACCTGTGGGGCGCGACGGTTTCGGTCAAAGCAGGTGGCCAGTGGACGCGGCAGAGGCAGCACGATGCTGGGTACCAAGTCGATCGGCGGTGCCCAAGGGGCAGAGCTGCCCCTGAGACGCTGCGCCACCGCATCTGGGAGTTTCCGAAAAACTGCGCCCACCCTGATTACACGTCTACGGACGCACTCATCCCTCAGGCGTTGGCGAATGCCGACGTTGACCCTTCCTTGTGGTTGAGGGGAGTGCCTGCGGCCAGTCTCACTGCTCTTCGATTTCAGGAGGGACCTGGTTTTTCCGACCCTATTTTCCTCGGCCAGTGCTTGCTGAAGGAGCTCTCGGCCCCTGCGGGGCACCCCCCCTCTACCTGTTTGGGGACGGCTCAGGGGGTGAGCACAGCTCAGACGATCGTCGGAGACGCTGCGGAGCAGCGGTGGTAGTCATGCGTCGTGCTTTGGACGGGGATCCTTCTGGTGCTATGTGGCTCCCCGTCTGCGGTGTGGCTGCCTTTCTCTCAGGGCGACGTCAGACTGTGCCCCGATCAGAGCTCCTGGCAACGGCCTTGGGCCTTGAGAATTCGTTTGGAGATATCGTTTACGTTTGCGATTGCAAGCCTGTGGTTGAAGGCTGGAGGTCTGGTCGCGCTGCTCGGCCTTATGGCCGAAATGCTGATCTCTGGGTTCGAATCCTAGGCGGCCAAAAATCGAGGACCAGGGTCCGTGGAGGTGGTCTGGACTGCTTCCCACCTGGAAGCTGAACCCGAGCGTATCACCTCCCCTTTTCAAGCTTTCCTCTCTCACGGCAATGCTTGTGCTGATGTCTGGGCGGGGTGGGCGGCGAGGAGGGGTTGGGAAACGTCGGTCAGACACCCGATTCCGTTCACGGATCGTTGGGATGTCACAGCCTTGCTAGTGCGCAGAAGAGTTCGGCGCGCTCTGATCGATAGTGTTGCGGTTGCTCCTGGATTCGGCCCCAGAGTGTCCAGGCCCAGGACCCAGTTCAAGTCCATGTTTGCTAAGGCTCTGGACTCCTCATCGCATCGCCTGTCGCGGTGCAGCAATCGTTGGATGTGTTCTGGGTGCTCACAGATAGTGCCTCGGACTAAGCTTCTGGAATTCGCGGCCACGATTTGCCCAACGGCTGCTGGGCCTGATCCTCCTTCCTCCTCCGCTGCCCTCAGCGTTCGTTTCCTCGGCGACGGTTTCCTGGCGGTGTGCGGGGCGTCCAAGGTTGGAGGCGTGGCCTTGCATCCTTCCCACGCCCTGAGGGAGTGGTCCCGATACGGTCTCAAGTTTTGTGCTGTTTGCGGGTTCACGGCTGCGGTTGATGGACGCAACCTGGCCAACCCCTGTGCTCCCCCCTCCCGCAAAGGGAGGGAGAACTTGAGCCGCCTCGCGAAGGGCCTTTACCCTTCGTACCGTGGGCCCCCCTCTTCGCTGGTGGTCGCCGAGATCCAGGCCCAGGCTGCAAGAGCCCAGTCGTTCCCTCGGTCCGCTTCGTCCGAGGCTGTGCCTGTCCTCCTGAATGAATATCTCAGGTTTGTTTCCGTCCCAGAAGAGGATGAAGAATTCATTTGCCAGCCTGAGTTCGAGTGTGCTCCCCTCACTCCGCCTGTGTCCGCAGAGTGCCCCCTCGCCCCCATCCGTGGGCTGTGGAGGAAAGGTCGGTGGTGAGGTGGCTTGTGGGGGTGTGGGGTCGGGGGCGTCGTCGTCGGTCGCGGCGGCGAGTGCGGTCGGCGGTGAGCGAGCGAGGGAGAGAGCCCCCCCGCGCCGCCGCCCCGCCGCCGCCCCGCGACGGCGGCCTGCGGCTTCTTCAACGCCAGGCGCGCCGCCCCCGTCCCCCCCTGCACTCCTCCCACCGACTGCCTAGTCGAGCACGTGCGTGCACTTACTCACCGAACTCACCGAACTCGAGCCCAGGCGGGGTGGGGCCCGCCAGTCACAGCAGAAGGCGCTCTCTCTCTCTCTCTCTCTCTCTCTGA